CTGGCAGACTGGCTGACTGGCTGACTGGCTGACTGGCTGACTGGCTGACTGGCTGACTGACTGGCTGACTGGCTGGCAGACTGGCAGACTGGCTGGCAGACTGGCAGACTGGCAGACTGACTGGCAGACTGGCAGACTGGCAGACTGGCAGACTGGCAGACTGACTGGCAGACTGGCAGACTGGCAGACTGACTGGCAGACTGGCAGACTGGCAGACTGACTGGCAGACTGGCTGACTGGCTGACTGGCTGACTGGCTGACTGGCTGACTGGCTGACTGGCTGACTGGCTGACTGGCTGACTGGCAGACTGGCAGACTGGCAGACTGGCACTGGCAGACTGGCAGACTGGCAGACTGGCAGACTGGCTGACTGGCTGACTGGCTGACTGGCAGACTGGCAGACTGGCAGACTGGCAGACTGGCAGACAGACTGGCTGACTGGCAGACTGGCAGACTGGCAGACTGGCAGACTGGCAGACTGGCAGACTGGCAGACTGGCAGACTGGCAGACTGGCAGACTGGCAGACTGGCAGACTGACTGGCAGACTGGCAGACTGACTGGCAGACTGGCTGACTGGCAGACTGACTGACTGACTGGCAGACTGGCAGACTGACTGACTGACTGGCAGACTGGCAGACTGACTGACTGACTGGCAGACTGGCAGACTGACTGACTGACTGGCAGACTGGCAGACTGACTGGACTGACTGGCAGACTGGCAGACTGGCAGACTGACTGACTGGCAGACTGGCAGACTGGCAGACTGGCAGACTGACTGGACTGACTGGCAGACTGACTGGGCAGACTGACTGACTGGCAGACTGACTGGCAGACTGACTGGCAGACTGACTGACTGGCAGGCTGACTGGCAGGACTGACTGGACTGGCAGACTGACTGGCAGGCAGACTGACTGACTGGCACTGACTGGCAGGCAGACTGGCAGGCAGACTGGCAGACTGACTGGCACTGACTGGCAGACTGACTGGCAGACTGACTGGCAGACTGACTGGCAGACTGGCAGACTGACTGGACTGACTGAGGACTGACTGGCAGACTGACTGGCAGACTGACTGGCACTGGCAGACTGACTGGCAGACTGACTGGCAGACTGACTGACTGGCAGACTGACTGGCAGACTGACTGACTGGCAGGACTGACTGACTGGCAGACTGACTGACTGGCAGGCTGACTGACTGGCAGACTGACTGACTGGCAGGCTGACTGACTGGCAGGCTGACTGACTGGCAGGCTGACTGACTGGCAGGCTGACTGACTGGCAGGCTGACTGACTGGCAGGCAGACTGACTGGCAGGCAGACTGACTGGCAGACTGACTGGCAGACTGACTGACTGGCAGACTGACTGGCAGACTGACTGACTGACTGACTGACTGGCAGACTGACTGACTGGCAGACTGACTGGCAGACTGACTGGACTGACTGGCAGACTGGACTGACTGACTGACTGACTGACTGACTGGCTGACTGACTGGCTGACTGGCTGGCTGACTGGCTGGCTGACTGGCTGGCTGGCTGACTGATGGCTGACTGGCTGGCTGGCATGACTGGCTGGCTGACTGGCTGGACTGGCTGGCTGACTGGCTGACTGGCAGACTGGCAGACTGGCAGACTGGCAGGACTGGCAGACTGGCAGACTGGCAGACTGGCAGACTGGCTGACTGGCTGACTGGCTGACTGACTGGCAGACTGGCAGACTGGCAGACTGGCAGACTGGCTGACTGGCTGACTGGCAGACTGGCAGACTGGCAGACTGGCAGACTGGCACTGGGACTGACTGGCTGACTGGCAGACTGGCAGACTGGCAGACTGGCAGACTGACTGGCAGACTGGCAGACTGACTGGCAGACTGGCAGACTGGCAGACTGACTGACTGACTGGCAGACTGGCAGACTGACTGACTGACTGGCAGACTGGCAGACTGACTGACTGACTGGCAGACTGGCAGACTGACTGACTGACTGGCAGACTGGCAGACTGACTGACTGACTGACTGGCAGACTGGCACTGACTGGCTGACTGGCAGACTGGCAGACTGACTGACTGACTGGCAGACTGGCAGACTGACTGACTGGCAGACTGACTGGCAGACAGACTGGCAGACTGACTGACTGACTGGCAGGCAGGACTGGCTGAGGACTGACTGACTGGCAGACTGACTGGCAGACTGACTGGCAGACTGACTGGCAGACTGACTGGCAGACTGGAGACTGGACTGACTGACTGGCAGACTGACTGGCAGACTGACTGGCTGACTGACTGCAGACTGACTGGCTGACTGACTGGCTGGACTGACTGCAGACTGACTGGCTGACTGGCAGACTGACTGGACTGACTGACTGACTGGACTGACTGGCAGACAGACTGACTGACTGGCAGACTGGCTGACTGACTGACTGACTGACTGACTGACTGACTGACTGGCAGACTGGCTGGCGGACTGGCTGGACTGGCTGACTGGGCTGGCTGGCTGGACTGGCTGG